GTTCCCATGGTGTGTAACCATGCTCACCATGATATATGTATAACCCCCCCTCAAACTCAAATAGGTTTGAAGATAGAAAACTATTTGAGATTGAAATAGGGGGAAAGACAAAGTAGAGCAGAAACACACACAAAAATAGATTATATATGATAGAGATATTTGAGATATGAATAAACTAGTGGACAGAGGAATAGATGACCACGAAGCGACACTGAATAAAAATATGACAGTAGAATAGGTTGAGGTCCGACGGGCGGCCAAAGCAATGCTGCTACCCGCCGGTGAAGCAAAATTACTAGGTGCTTAATCTAGCTCTGATACCATATTACAATATCTAATAGAGAGAGAGAAAGAAAATATTATATGATGTGTGTATTCAATATTAAATTATGGCAGTGGAATGGGTTGAGGTTTGTCCTTCAACTTTGGAAGTTGAGGAGTTGCCCATAAAGAGTTGTTCACCATTGTCCACTGTAGAATAAGATGTGAACATCTTTTTGTCGGCACAGATATGGCGAGTAGCACCAGTGTCCACCCACCATTCTTTAGGATTTCCGACAAGATTTACCTCGGAAACAACTGCAGAAAGATTGATGTCATCGACACCATTGGAAATATTGTCCACTTCAGTCATGTGGGCTTGAGCAGGCTTCTTGCTTGTTCTTCTTTTGTTTTTGCCTTTGCTACGGCAATCTTTGGCCCGATGTCCCTCTTTGTCACAGATGTAACATTTGCCATTAAACTTGTACTTTTTATTATCCCCCCCCTTTAGAGCCTTGTGATGAACTTTCTCCAGAAGACTTTCGTTTCTTGGTTTTTGAAGCATGCTCCACCACATTTGCCTTAGACTCCATAGGATGCTTACCAGCCCGCTTTTTAGAATTACGGTTGTCCTCCTCAATTCTTAAACGCACAATTAATTTGTCCATAGAAATTTCTTTGCGCTTGTGTTTGAGGTAGTTCTTGAACTCCTTCCAGGCTTTTGGTAATTTTTCAATTAAGGCTGCAACTTGGAAGGATTCACTGAGCGACATGTCTTCTGCGTGAATGTCATGCAGAATGAGTTGGAAATCTTGAGCTTGGCTGATCACAGTTTTTGAATCAACCATTACAAAATCCAAGAATCTACAAACCACAAATTTCTTTGAGCCGGCATCTTCCGTTTTGTACTTTTTCTCCAACGATTCCCAAAGTTCCTTTACTGTCTTGATTGGACTATAGACGTGTATAATGTGTTTGTCAAGTCCGTTCAAGACGTAGTTCCGGCAAAGAAAATCGGCATGTTTCCAAGCATCAACCACTTGCCAGTCGGTTTCATCCTCTTTCAGGATAGGAGCATCTTCAGAAACGAGCCAGGTTCAGAGTTGTAAGATAGAACAACATTTTCTGTTGCCATCTTTTAAAGTCAGTTCCTGAGAACTTCTCTGGCTTCTCTCCATGATTAATTGGTACTGTCATCACAGGAGAGGGGGTTGGTGCAATTGCAGCCACCACAGTAGTACTTGTTTGGGCATTTGTTTCAGTAGCCATCAATTCTAATTTATAAAACAAATTTATAGTTAAAATTTTCACTACACAGAAAATTAAACCAAATTCACAGAATTAAATTCTGTAAAAATAAAAGAAACAAGAATGTAACTTTTATTTTCCAATTAATTTGAAAATAAAATAAAATTTTATTTAAACAAATTAATTCCACACAGAAAAATAAATTCTGTAAAATAAAAGAAATAAAAACTATAACTTTTATTTTTCAATTAATTTGGAAAATTTTATTTAACCAAATTAATTCTACACAAGAAATTAAATTATGTAAAATAAAAGAAATAAGAAAATAACTTTTATTTTTCAATTAATTTGGAAATAAAATAAAATTTTATTCAGAAAATAATTTTCTTCCGAAATTATTTACGAAGAATGAAAAAAGGGAAACAAACGAAAAATTCTGTAAATAGAATAATTCGAATCTGTCTTAAGATTGTTAGAACAATCTTCTGTATAAATAAAATAACTTAAAATAATTCAAACAAAATAAAATAAAACTTACAGAATTTATTTTGTTGAACCGAATCAATAATTTAAAGACAAAGTCGAGTGTGTGACACTCTGTCCTTAAGACAGATTCGCCCCGCTACGGTGCTTACGGTTATGTGGCGTCTATCTCCCAGGATACAATGATCTTCACAAATTTGTAGTAGCACTTCAAACAAATTTGTTTGACGAACTAGAACCTTGTGTTCTATAACTCTCTGAAATTTTTCCTAAAATAATATGAAGAATAAAGGACGCAAGAGAGCAAAATGAAGGCAAGGAAAATGAATTTTCAGAATCAATCAAAATTGGAATGGGGCTGCCTTTATATAGGCTTTGTTGGCACCTATTCAATTTGAATCGAAAATGTATGAAGAAGGGACATACCCCTTCATTTAAAATAAAGAGACACCATGAAAGGTTTGCATCCTTTCATTCAAATGGAGGTTTGACCCTTCTTTTAAAACAAAAAGACACCATGAAAGGTTACACCCTTCCATTCAAAATGGAGTCTATTTCAATTCACAACTACCTCTTTATAAATTTTCCAACACACTTGACGTTTCAATTTCAATGAACAAAAAATTAAAGTCTAAAAGCATGCCTAGCATAGGTGCCTAAATTCAAAGTCCACCAAGAGCTTGTGTTGATATCACATTGAAGATGAATTGTATCTTTTTTGCCTGTTGCTGTGAACTTTCATTGTTGGGTTGGTTACAATCTCAAGTTTGGTATGTTAGTGCAATTTGTTGCTGCTACAGTAATTAATCAGCAAGATTCCCAAGGATTTGATAGGTGTTTAAGACTATTAAGTTTTACTACAAACAAATAAATTTCATTTAATGGCTTCTAATATTTAATTCTCTGACTTCAAATATGGCAGAACAAATTCAATAAGGCCATAAATACATACAACATGAATTTTAAAAATAAACTTAAATAAAATAAAAAACCAACACAACCTTATCAGTTGCTGCTACAGTAATTAATCAACAAGATTCCCAAGGATTTGATAGGTGTTTAAGACTATTAAGTTATACTACAAACAAATAAATTTCATTTAATTGCCTCTAATATTTAATTCTCTGACTTCAAATATTGCAGAACAAATTCAATAAGGCCATAAATACATACAGCATGAATTTTAAAAATAAACTTAAATAAAATAAAAAACCAACACAACCTCATCATCGAACTTTTTGCCATTGTCCAATTAATGAGTTGTCATCAAGAAATACAAATTGTCCAAACACATGCAGTCAAATGGAATGCTGAACAGTTACAAGATTTTATTGGCCATTCAAAATTATCAAAAAATAAAAAGAAATACTTTAGTAAACATAGTGGTGAAGGAAATTAATCATTAGCACTTATTCAATAAAATTGAGGTTTCAAATTATAACAATTATAAAATTAATGATTTAGATATATTAATGTACTAGAAAATTCTACAAAAAAAAAAATGTAGGTGAAGGAAATTCAGAAGTGTACAAATAAACTAACAGGAGACAACCATTAGTTCAAATAATTATTATTATTTCTTTTTAATGGTTGAAACTAGGCTTATGAACCACAATAATTATTATTATTTCTTTTTAATGGTTATTCCACTTTCAAATATAAACAAAATGAATTAAGGTTCCCCAAAGAACCCAACAGGAGGCAACCATTAGTTCACATCATGTCCATTGTTAAATGGATCTGGTACTTGTATCAAAATTCTGAAGGAGAAGCACTCTTTATAAGGCTGTCCCAAGAAAAAGGCAAAATGAAGATAACAATACTACCCACAAAAGCTTCAATCACTTACAGCTAGCTGCTTCAGAACCATCAATCTGTCTAGCTAGAATATTAATGTTCTCTCGGTACCTTAAAATACAGCCTCTTACCTAATTTCATACTTACTTTCCAGTAAGTCTATCTGTTTGGCAATTGAATGATGCATAACTAAAGGCAAAGTATGAAGCTATTTACATATATTTCCACTATCAAACAACTCTGTTACTAACATCAGGCTGAATTAATTTGTAGGGCCATTGCCTACCATTTAGGTCAACTCATCCTCTCAAACTAATCATTTAATCTACAATCTTCTTTTATGTCCATGTAGCAAACTAATGCCTTAAGCCATTCTTCCGTATCTTCATGAACGAAATAAAATTTTGATTTGCCAGGTTTGGTTGGTTGCACAAAGAGCAAAGCAAGTTCACCTATTGGATGGAGTTGTGATATTTCACCAAGGCTGATCTTTTGCCAATTCACACTGACCTCATGAATATTCTTACTTTTACACATGCAAACATACATAAAAACCTATGCTTAACGCAATTTCAACTCCCATTTCAAGAGACATAAGAAATTTGCTTCATAAAGACAAGGAACCAGTATAAAAGTTTTAAGCAAAACATAGCCAGACATACATATACAAGCATTTAGAAGATTAAAAAAAAAAAAAAATAGTTCTATCACAATTTTTTCATGCATTTATATTCTCTTAAGTGCATTGATAAACCATTGCTCAGCTGCTTTCAGTTTCTTTCTCAAGAAAGCGTATCCCCTTTACAGTGGAACCTACACTAAGTTCATAATCAACAACATGCATACCTCGATAAGAAAGCCACCAAACAAGTTTACAAACCCTGCAAGTACAATGAGACTATGAGGTACAACATTCAAAATGAGAAGAAAATTTGAGATAAACAAACCCATTTCTTTTTCAAGAATGCAAGCATGTTATAAATTGATGTTCTAATGTCCATGAGCCTAAGGTCACTTCAAGACAAGTTCAGACCTCTGAGAACCATGTCTCAAATTAAGAGTTGTGCATGAGTTGAACCCTAAACTGGAGACCCTCATTGTATTTGAGGCATGCACTGCCTCTAACCATGCAAGTATGTTGCAAACTGATGTTCTAATGTTCAAGAGTCTCTGCTCACTTCAAGACAAGTTTATAAGAAAACATCTATTAGCCTGAGCTTAGCCCATTTTATGCAATAGGCTTCAGGCTAGCCCAATGTTCAATTGTGTTGTTTAATTTTTCTTCAAAATTATTAGTAACATAACGCTTCCCAACTTTTCAGGAAGCCCAAAGGTTTGAAAACCTTGCAAATTAGCTATATTAAATCTCAAGAATCTCAATCAACACGTGGTTTTGTTAATTAAACAGACAATATTTACATATATATATATATATATATAAGAAAGTACTTTAAAGTCATATTCTTGAGCAGATTGTGATTAAGTTCCAGCTGAAGTTGGCATAGCCCAAGCTCAGCCCATTCCAAACTAAGTTAGGCTCAGCCGGAAAAGATTGGGCCAAACAAGTGGCCTTTGGGTTTGCCTAGACCAATTGACAGTCCTATTTAACAAGGAGACATCTGAGGGTGGTAGTATTACATGCGTCCAAAGAAACTTAAGGAGAAGAGAAAGAAACATAAATTACAGTCTTATTAGATATTGTTCCAGTTTCCAGCAGATGCAAAGTATCAAACATAGCAGTAAATCAGTAAGGTCCTAGCTACATAGGGACATCCGGGGAAAAAACCAGAAGAGAGTTGCAACTTACTAACAACATATATGTACATACACAAATATGGAAAGAAATTTTGGTAGATAAATATGCAAGTCTATACACAAGAGAAGAGGCAGATTGTAGAAAAGAGGAACAAACTTTATTCCACAATATTTAGGATGATAAGATGTTTATTTTTTTCCTCTTAGGAATAAGTGAGGCTAAATATTTATTAGTTTAAAGTGAGCATGTATAAAAAAAAAATTGTAACATGAAGAATAGACTGACCTCTGCCCCACCAATTGAAAATAGAACCACAAGAATATCAATAAACCAGACTGACATTAGCTTGTAAAGCATGAATAAGAAACTGGAAGCAATCAAAACAAAGACAAAGAAAAAGATGGAAAATGGTATTAATCCTGAAATTATGCATAAACAAATCATAAACACACATTTACCAAATGCTACACACCAAAACCAAGGAACCTGGCGTTTCTTTCCTCCCAAATGCTGATCTGGAAGTGAAAGGCACAAAAATGCAACATAAGCCACAGTTCACTACAATTTCCTGAAAAACCAATTTAAATGTTTGATATCCAAACCACATAGGGAAGGTAGAAAACTATTTGAACAACCAAACCCATTTTAGAAACCAACACGAAATTAAACTGAATCAAGACTATAAAACCCTAGAGCAACAATCAGAAAGGGGGAAATAAAGGAAGGGAGACAGAGACACAGCTTGATCGAAAGAGAGAGCAAGAGAGCGAGAGCGAGCGCGCAAAGAGAGAGAGAGAGAGAGAGAGAGAGAGAGAGAGAGAGAACCTGTGCTCTGCAGCAGTGGCGATGGCGATCTGAAGAGGTGGCGGCGGCGATTTGCTGCAGTGGCCGTTACCATCTGAGGCGGTGGCGGTGGCGGTGGTCTGTGGTCATGTGAAGTGGGGTGAGGTTAGGTGTGGTGAAGGAGAATAAACAGAGAACATGAGCGGGTGTTACATATATTTATATATATTACACCATTAGCGACTAAAGTCAATTAATTTTTCAAATCCCTATAAAATTTGAAATATCTCCCTCCAAATATTTTAATTTTTGGGCGACTAAAATATTTTTTTGTCGCTGAAAGTATGTTTTTGGTTACCAAACTTTTGGTCGCCAAAGATAAAAATTAATTTTTTATTTTACATTCAGCGACTACATAGTTTTGGTAGCCAAAACTCAATATATAGCGTAGTAGGCCACTAAAAATGATTTTTTTGTCGCTGAAATATATTTTTGGAGACTAAAATTTTGGTCACAAAGATTAAAAAAATATTTTTTATTTTACATTTGGCGACTAAATAGTTTTAGTAGCCAAAACTCAATATACGGCGACTAAACTATTTTTTTGTCGCTGAAAATATGTTTTTGGCGACCAAACTTTTGGTCGCTAAAAATAAAAAAATAATTTTTTATGTTACATTCGGCGACTAAATGGTTTTGGTAGCCAAAACTCATATATCGGCGACTAAATTTATTTTTTGTCGCCAATTCTAGTATTTTTAGCTACTAATTTTTTTTTTTAGTCGCCAATAATCAATATATCCTGACTAAAAAAATTTAGTAGCTAAATATTATATTTTTTGGCCGCTAAAAAAAATTTGGTCGCCAATTCTGTAACTTTTGGCGACTAAAATTTAGTCGCCAATTTTGGTCGCCAAAAGGTGCATTTGTGTTGTAGTGCTCTGTGTAAGGTTGTGTCAGTGTAACCCTTGATTTCCATAACAGCGAGAAGCCCCTGCTAGGTTGGTTCCATTGACGAAGCTCTATAGGGAACAGTATAAACGACCAATTTCCAACAACAACGGAACTATAAGGCTGTGTTGGTTCCATTGCTGAAGTGAAGCCGTTCTCTCCAAACTAGAATTGAGGTATGGAACTGTCTCCCTCTCTCTCTTTGGCCTCTTCACTTCAGCTATTTCCCTCAACTAAACCCCATCCTAACTTCAACCGCTCTAACGCTTCGCTCAACGGAAACCCTTCCATTGGCAACTAACCTTTTTTTTTCTCAAGCGAGTGTTTGTGTTTGCACAAACAACTAAACCATGTGAAAATGTCATGTTTGTGTTTGTATTAACATTTTTCGGTCATCAGTAATTGTTTTGTACGAATGTCATGTGCAGTATGGCCCCAGCGAAAGTTACAAGGAAATATTTCATCTTCAAGTAACCTCTGTGAACTGTGTGAAGCTTGTGTACTGATCGCTTTGCTTACCTTTGCATTGTCAACAACTTCCTTCCCTCGGAAATTGAGCAACATGTCCCTTATTTCCGCATTGCTGTGAAGCACTTGCTTCATGGTTTCCTTCAGTTCACCAATGTCGGACTCAACCTTGCTCAACGAACTTCATCATCTTGGTTTCTGTTGTTATGACATGGTGTGCGTCGATTGCGTCATCAATGTCGTTGCTTTCCTCAATTGTTGGATGAAACTCCACCTAACATAGTTGTCAAATCGGGATTCAAATCATGAATGAAAATGGTAATGTACTGAATCGTTAATCGATCTCAACTATGAATCGAAACTTTCGGTCCGCTTTAACGTATGTGTACACACTTACATATTAAATATATCTAATAAAACTTAATTACTCCATTTGTCTGAAATGAACAAAGAATTTGTTGTAAATGATGCTCATCTAGTGTGGATAAAAACTTCACAGTCGATCCCATGTTTACCAATTGACCTTTTCCCATTTAGATAAACAAAGACAAACTTTCAATTACAAACTAATTAACAATAATTGAACGACAATGTTTTGACCTTTTTACAAGGTTAAAAAACCAAAATCTTCAACTTTTCCAAAAATCTGACTTCAGGGCTTAACCAAAATCATTTGATAACGAAATAGTAATAAAATTGAATTTGTAAGGCTACAATGTTGTCCGGATGGAAACTTCATGTTTTTCCGCAAAAGTTCAAGTATTTGAAGTAAACAGGGAGGGACAAAGTGAAAATATGGCATACGCTAAGGAATGAGTCGCTGTTTGTCACTGCTTGTCACCTAGTCATAGGAACACAAATTCAGTCTGTCATTGTTTCCATAACACGGTGGGGCAATGCTGTCAAATGTGCACAACAAATGGGTTGATTACCTCTTGTTGCTCCAATATTTGCTTCATTCCCATACGTCGCCACGTCTCCCGTATTTCGGCATCACCCCAATCATTTAGCCGAGGGATGGAGCTTGTAGTAGCCAACGTACTCTTACAGGGAGGGGCAAAACGATCCAAGTAAAATAGCTGCATTGTAAGGGGGAAACGCTATTTAGTACACAATTTTGAGCAAAATAATCCGTATTCGTTAACAATGCATACAATTTACAACACAATCATATCTGTGTTTATGTGTCTTGATGGTAGAATCCCCATGCAGCTTTCCGATTAAAAAGATAAGCTCTTCTTGGTTACAAAAATGTGGCCCGTACAAGTAGTTGAAGGAGGTAGCATGTCATGACCCGAACCCACCCTATGGATTAAGGTCATAACCGGCCAATAATCATGAGATTACCTACGGCCTCAAACTTGATTAAACATGATTCAATAGAAATAAAGGCCCAAAACAGAAGCAGACTTAAAAAAGTCACTAATTTTAATTTTTAGGGACACATCTAAAAAATCGTCACAAAAAAATTACTTGTAGTGACGATTTTATTAAGATTTATTTTCAATAGGATTTCATGAGAATTAAATTAAACTATTATGACCTATTGATAGTTTTTTTTTTTTTGGTGAATACCTATTGATAGTTACTCCAAATGTTATAAGGACATTGTCCATAACCAACAATGTATTATGCTATATTAAAATATATATGTTTAAAGTTTAACAAATAATGGATTCATGATTCGATTCCCCATTTACTTCTTTAGTTGTTGGGCCACCGGAAATAAGCTTGAAGATGGTCTACCACCTTCTTGTCCACTTGGAATGCCTTGGCAAGAACATCATCAAAAGTTTTTGGATTCGACCCTAACACTGCATTCGCAATCCTGGTAACAAGTGTTAGTGAAATGACTATTTTCTAGATTGGAATTTACGAAACCGACGTAGAGGTACCCTCAAAGACCACAAGGATCTTAGTTCTGCGAAGGTGTGTATTGGTGGGGTTGAGGCCGTAGGGTGCGAAGTCAATGTGAGCTAAAGAGATGCCGAGAGTGTTGAGGCTTGGGATTTGCATGACGTTTACAGGAGTGACAATCGACCCAACTGGGTTGATGTATTTTGGGAGTAAAGAGGCCAGAAAAAAAAATATAAAAATTTATTAAAAAAAATAAAAATGTTAAACAAACTAATTAGCTTCAATAATGTTACATGACGACATCTAAGAAAATAAAATATGACCCTTCATAAAACTAAAACAATTAAATTTTGGGATCAAAAATGAATAAAATTGTATAGTTTAAAACCAAATGAGTAATTTTTATTTCAAAAATACTACTTATTTTGATGACAATGAATATTGGCAATGTCAACTAGTGAGACAACTTTAATAACACATTTTGATAATGAAATTGTCACAACAAATTAAAATGTTAAAAACTAAAATGACAGCAAACATATATTTGGGAAGGCACAATGTTGTGAGATAGAAGTGAGTATATAGTATAATCAGTAGAATTTGGAGCTCCTTGACAGCAACACATAAACCTTGTAGAGAACCGGAATAAAGATAAGTGTGGAGGCCAAGGCCACAATGGCTATGGTTACAAGGAAAAAGTGAGTGGACATTTTAATTGAGGCAAATTGCAAATGATTGAAAGAAGGTTTAGCGATATCTAGCATGGCGAAGAGGTTGTGTGTTTTATAGATATAGATTGATCAGATTAGTTGAATTTGTCATTATATTTTTGACAATTCCAAGTCTTCAATGGTTAACTTTTTTCTTCATTCATCTTGCAATGAAGAACCATGAACGGTTTTTCAACAACTTTACTAGTTTATAATTTTTTGGGGGCCAAATTACGCAGATGATCCTCATATTTTATTTTGTGTCATTTTAGTTTCTTATATTTAAATTTTTTATCATTTTGTTTCAATTGATAATGCCGTTAGTGTTTTTGACAGAAAATAATACTGAATTGGTTGAGTTTAACTCATTGAGTTGAGTAAGTTTATAATTTTGCTCTTAAAAATATGCACGTCACCTTTGTGCGTATTTTTCATAAAAAATGCTGGAGAGTTGTAATCAATTGAACCAAATTAAAGCAAAGTCATAAATTCATATAAAAATCAAACCAATTGAAATTAATAGGATCAAAATGATATCAGGATCAAACTACATGAACTATTATCGTAATTTGCAGTTTTTTTTTAATTGCTTTTA